CGCACAAAGCTCTTGCATTTATAGTTTAGTACCTTAAATCGTGTTTTTCTAGCTATTGTTTTTCCTATTTCACATCTTTAATTACTCTATATAATACATATTATTGATTTAATCCAATATACATCAAATGAACAAGTAATAAGCTCAAGGTTGTGTAGCAAACAACTCAGATGATGGTGAAATTTTATACAGCAAGGCAACAACAGTTGTTGAAGGCAGAAAGCAGATTTCGAATGTTGACTTATGGACTCAGGAGCTACATGTCTTAGACACCAAGGAGAGAATGGTTCCATCAATATGAACCTATCTAAGGAGAATCTGTGTTTATGGAGAATGATCATGCCTTGGAGATCGTCGATATTGGTACCATCAAATTGAAAATGTACGGTACAATTTGCACCATCTAAGAAGTACGACGTGTAAAAGGCCTGAAGAAAAATCTGTTGTCTTTAGGGAAATTAAATAGCATTGGCTGCAAAACCCATATACAAGATGGGATCATAAAGATTGTCAAAGGCGAGCTTGCGATGAAAGCTGAAAAGATAGCTACATATTTGTACATACTTAAAGGAGAGACACTACAAGAAGGAGAAGCATATGTCGCATCGATAAGTTCAACAGAAGAATTAATTATGATGTAGCATCGTAAGCTATGCCAGAACGTGGTTTGTAAAGTCTCTCAGAACAAAAGCTTCTTCTAAGGCTCAAAAAATGTTTCATTACCCTTCTATGAGCATTGTGTTACTAGTAAGTAGCATAGTTCGAAGTTCAGTAGTTCCACTACAGAAATAAAGCTATCCTAGAGTTGGTTCATTCTGATGTTTGGAAAGCATCAGTTTTGTCCTTAGGAGGTGCAAGAAACTTTGTATCTTTCATTAATGATTACTCCAGGAGATGTTGGGTGTATTCAATCAAGAAGAAGAAAGAGGTGTTTGCAGTCATCAAAATATTCAAAGCGCATGTGGAGTCTGAATCTGAAAAGAAAATCAAGTGCATGAGGACTAACAATGGATGAGAATATATTGGTGATGAGTTTGATAACTTTTGTCAACAATAAGATATCAAAAGATAGTTCAACAACATATACTCTACAACAAAATGGAGTGGCATGGTAGATGAACAGAACATTGCTAGAAAGAATAAGAGCAATGTTGAGAACTGCGGGGCTAGCCAAGTCATTCGGGCAGAAGCAGTCAAAACTGCCTATTTTGTGATCAACTGATCTCCATCAACCGCAATTGATATGAAGATGCCTATGGAGATGTGGACTGGTAAGCCAGCCGATTATTCTTGCTTATATATATTTGAAAGTCTTGTATACGTTATGTACAACTCCTAAGAAACATCAAATCTCGATCCAAAATCTAGAAAATGTACTTTCTTAGGGTATACTAATAGAGTCAAGGGGTACCGTCGGTGGGATCCCACGGCCCACAAGGTGATGATCAACATAGATGTGATATTTATATAAGGAAAAGTGCAAGAGAGAAAATGATAGCACTTCAAAAGAGAAATCATAGACTACTACAGTCGAAGTTGGAGACGACTCAGGAGTCATACATTCTATTTCAATATCACTTTGTTCGAGAAAAAGTGGAAGAATGAAGTGTGAATATTCAAGAAAATCCATACAGAGCTAACGATATGTCAACAAAGAATATCAGTACTAACAAGTTTACATGGTGTCAATCCTCCACCAATCTAGCAGAAAAGTAAGTAGCATGGAAATGGCAAGTGAAGGAATGATAGAATGATTACAACAAAAGTGACTTTAAATTGGAGAAATGTTGATAAAAGGTAAAACTACTTTCTTGTCCTTTGAAAACAGTGGCAAGGATGTTCCGTCTATTGCCACCTTTGTTGAAATTAAAATGAGAACACTGAGCATGCATGAACTTTGCATTAAATGCTAATAGTGTAAAGATAAGAAAATTGGAATGGTCTCATCTACAGCCGAAATTCTTGAACAAATAGTCAGCAACTTTTGTTAAAATTTTGGAATGAATTTAATGAAGTGGGAGGCCAATCTGACTATAAATAAGGAGATGAATTTAACATTGTTTTCTCCCAAGTTTTCCTACTTAGTTTCTTCTATTACAAGTGAGATTAATTGTTGTTATCTCTTTATATGTAAAGAGAAGGTTATTGTTATTCTCCTACTATAATGAAATCGCCCTATATTTGCTTGTTGACGTAGCCTGAATTGGGTGAACCACGTAAATATTTGTGTCCAATTTTAGCTGCATTTTTCTCAATTCCACTTTCGTTGCAAGCCAACCTTGACCATGTTTTTCTAACATGTTCTTCCACTTGACTAAGAGATGAATCATATGTATTCAAAGGGATTGATGGGGAAGTATCTCAACAGCAAAGTTGACAATTTATGGGTGACAAAATTAGCAATAGTCTTAACAATTGGACGAGCTATTCTTTATCTCAAACATATGAAAATCCTAAACAATAATTCCCCCTCATGAATGAAATCACTAGAAAGGCGATAAGATTTGCTATCTGAGTGTTCTTTTGACTCTTTTGAAGGGTTTGAATCGGTTCATTCTTGGGATGTACTTTAGATGCAGTAAGAGAGAGCCGAGCTTTGTTAGGTGGACAAAGGACAGGGCGTTAAAATCTAAGATGGTTTAAACTCGAATTCCAAATATTGCTAAAGAAAGTACTCTTAGAAGCAGCAAGAATGCACGAAAATTGTGAGCTCAAATCAAGTAAAAAACAATGAAAATGAGCGAGCTTTACACCTCCCGAAAGAGACGATTTTGATAAAAACCACGTCTTGTCTGAAAAGAAGCACATAGAGAAAATAAACGAGAGTTACACGGCACTTAGAACACTAATCCTGTCTAGTGGCAAGGTACTCAAAACTCTAATAGTTAGTTTAGCGTGTTGAGAATCATGGTCTATTTTCAAAATATCTATTGTTATTCACATTGTGGGTTAATAAAGTATCAAAGAGAGTATTTGAGAGCGCTTGATCCAAAAGTCGAATGAGCTAGAATCATAAAGATTGGTTGAGCTAGATTGAGAACGAAAAGTAACATCACAAAGATATTGGCCGGACCTTGGATACTATGGAGCTAACCAAATTAATAATATCAAGAAACAACTGAAGAACAAGAGTATTAAGGGATAAAATTTCACATCGAATAAAGATAAAAACATATACCAATTTATAAGGGTTTGAGCTATCCTCTTAATAAGATTAACTTTTTAAGATGAAATTTCAATTCTTAACATTGTATTAGAGCTTGTTAAGCTCAAACGAGCAACTCAATCCAATTAAGATTCAAAAAAATAAGTACACAAATTTCAATATTAGATTACTCAAACGAGCCACCATCTTGCGAGCATATTAAGGGATAAAATCTCATATCAAATAAAAATGAAAATATAAACCAATTTATAAGGGTTTGAGTTACTCCTCTTGATAAGATTGACATTTTAAGGTGAAACTTCAAATCTTAACAAAGAGTAAGATTAGTGATACGGATGGGTCGAGAGTTGGAAATAGTCGATGTCTGTCAAGAAATTCGTCAACTGATAACGTCACAAGCCATGTTGACGATAAGGACGTGTCAATCGAGATTAAGCCAATACTTGATCCCATCATCTAAAAACTCTTTTTTGAAAAACTTATTTTCAACTACACATTCTCTTAATAAAATAATTTGCATGTAAATTAAAAAATTTCTATACTTTTTTACCACATATTTTTCAAAAAATCACTATTACAAAACTGCAAATGGATTCTCTCACCGTTTAATCTTTCATCACTTGTAGAATTCTCTCACTGAGCATGACAGTTCAGGTTTGCTCTATTGATTTTGAATAGTGATATGATGGGAAATGTGTGGTTGAAAAAGAAGAAGAAATTATTGATGTGATGGAAAATATTATTTTATTGAAAAATGTGTGGTTGAAAATGAGAATTGATTTATTGTAGAAAAATCTAATCCCTCCCAAACAGGACCTAATTATAATGTACAAAACATGCACTGAAACAGTTAGCCCATATCTTCATTTTTTATGAGTTACATTGACTAATGCATGAATTTCAGTTGAAGGGATTAATGCCCCGTTTGGCATTCATTTTTTTCTCATTCTCATTCTTATGTTTTTTCTCTTTCTTTATTTCAACCACACATTCTATCAATAAAATAATATTACACATAAACCTAAAAATTCTCCTTACTCTTTAGCCACACATTCTTCCATCAATCATTATTCAAAAACACATTTTTCTACTAAAATGGGTGTCAAACACCCCCTAAAAGTTGCATCAGAAGGTGTGATAATACAAGCAATTCTAACGGTTATTAGGAAAGTTTAAAGGATCATCCTCGCACCAAGATTATATGTTTCTTGATACTTGAGAGAGCTTTGTATTGCACAGAGCTCAATAAAGCTAAAATCAAATCGGATATTTTTTCTAACTCGATTCTTGATCACTCTAAGACTATGTTTGAGCCCCATTTTTTTTTCTCATTATTTTTTCTAAAGTACTCATTTTAAACCACACATTTTTCATTAAAATAATCTTACACGTAAATCAAAAACTTTTCCTTCTTTTTTGACCACACATTCTTACATCAATCAATATTTCAAAAATTAAAATTTCCCCAAAATGGGAGCCAAACACACTCT